TCAGAACTCCCCTGTGAAATCTAGTGGGGAGGGGCAGGGCTGGGGTGCCCCAGCCAGAATCTTCTACTATGAACTGGGATCCAGCTGCTAGTCCCAGAATGGGATGGGACTTCCTCTTCCCCTGCATGGCTGCTCTCAGTGGGGGAGGGGAGAGATCAAACCCACCTCCAACTACCTCCACCAGCTGCAGGAAGTTCCGCAGCTGTGCTGCCTTCAGAGCTGGGGTCTGAAAGCAGCAGCCATGGAGCTTTCTGCAGCTTGTGGACATGAGTCTGATCTCCCCCATGCTCCTGGGAGTGCCCTGCCTGGGGGTTGCTAGTCCTGGCCAGGCTGAGGCAGGACAGGACTTCCTCTTCCCCTAATAGCTGCTCTTGGAGGAGATCAGACCCACCTCTGGGTACCTCCCCATGCTTCAGGAAGCTCCCTACATCACAGCAGCCTCCTCTCTGTGTTTTGTGTGGAGTTGGCCAAAGAAAGGCATCTCATAGTAGCCCAGACTCAGGTGCCTAAATCCCGGAGAGGGTGGGGCTTAAGACACATCCTTTTCGTAAGCAACTTCCATTGACTCACGTAGGTGGCTCCACACCTAGGGTGTTGGCTTTTACGGATCCATTCTTAGGTGCCTATCTCTCACCATTCATTGTTCAGGGAAACTAGGCACCTAACTCAGCCTTTTTAGAGTCCAGTGACTTTTCTAGGTGCTTAAAAGTTATGTGTTGTGATGCTGAGCCTCGCAACCCTTAAGTCCCTTTGTTTGGATCTGGGCCCAGTCTAAAATAATGCCATTTCATAAAACAATTACATTTTCTATATGTCTGAGCTTTAATGCAGAAAGCCAAGAGATCTGTACAGAGTAGCAGGTCAAAGAAATTAATTTCCCAACAGCAAACAACCAACTTCTCCCCCAGTCCAGGCCTCTTTAGCCTCATGACATTGATTTTTGTGGATTGAAGGAGAAACAAGTTATAATACATTCATGCTGCAGGCTCAAAGCTCTGAGAGGGTGGCTGGTTGAATAAGAAGTGTGCAATTTTGTTTTTCTCAGTCTCCGTGTTAATAATAGTGAAAGAAATCAAATATCCCAGTTTATGTCTTATTTACAAAAGCCATTTCCAATCATTATTACTAAGTCTATAATAGGAATCACACCACTGTGAGGTGCTGTCCTTCTGTTTAGTCAAGCATGGTTCAAAGAAACATCAATCCAGTATGCAATCAAGACTTCCCAGGGATGAAATCTGCCTAGCAAATTAAATGATTGATAGCTCAAAGAACTTAGCAATGTTTCCAAATGTTGCCAGACAGCTTCATCCAGTGGGAAAATAAATAAATAAACCCTCTTGCCTGGATCATTAATTATATTAAAATTCCCAATGCTCATGACTGAAAAATGAGTGTGATCTGCACAATCCGTTCAGTTTCATGTGTATTAAATAAGAGAAATAGAAAGCAATTAATATTGCTCAGTTGGAAAATACAAAATATGCCAGTCAATAATGATTGATCAGTTTGCATAGGTGCAAAAACTCCATTTACTACCTGACCTCCAGCTTGAGAACTTCTTTCTGATTTCTCTAAACTGGAAAGTTTCAGCAGTCATAATACCATAAACACAACACCTGGAATTTACTGGACAGACATTTAATCCCCACATCTCTTTATTGGTAGTATTATTGGCCAAATATACCATCTCTCTCTAGCTCTGCTTCCAAACCAAGCTCACTCTACAAACAATGTGTCACTCAACTCGAGGACAAAATGACACAGTACTAATACAATTAATTGTGCAGATCTTCATAATACGTTGTCCCTCTCTTGTGTTGTCTGTATGCCAGGATATCCGCTATAGCTGTCTATCTCTTTTGCATATTTAGTTAGAAATGAAATATTTAAAGTTAACAGCTATATTTAAATTGACCTAATTAGTATTCAGAGTTAATACTCTATTGAGATAAATGGGGCAGTTAACATCTCTGTTATTATTTCAGGCTCTCTGCATAGTCAGACAGATATAAATTAATCTGTTTCTTAATTCATAATTTGAAGGTTATCTTCACAAACATGAAGGATAGAGGTATAGGTGCAAACATTGTTCCCCTTTTTAAAGATAGGTACTAAGAAAATGCAGGGAATTACAGACCAGTCAGCCTAACATCAATACCTGGAAGATACTGGAACAGATTATTAAACAATCAGTTTGTAATCATCTAAAGGATAATAGCGTTAAGGAATAGCCAGCATGGATTTATCAAGAACAAAACATCCCAAACCAACCTAATTAACTTCTTTGACAGGGTTATTGGCCTAGTGAATGGGGTAAAGTAGTATACTTGATATATCTTGATTTTTAGTAAGGCTTTTGATATAGTTCCCCATTTTACTCTCATAAGCAAACTAGGGAAATGTGGTTTAGAGGAAATTACTGACAGGTGGGTGCACAACTGATTGAAAGAGTAGTTACTAATGGTTCACTGGGACGGTGTAGTTAGTGGAGTCCTGTAAGGGTCAGACCTGGGTCTGGTACTAGTCAATATTTTCATTAATAATTTTCATAATGGAGTGGAGAGTGTGCTTATAAAATTTGCAGATAAAACCAAGCTGGGATGGGTTGCAAACACTGTAGAGGGCAGGATAAAAATTCAAAATGACCATGACAAATTGGAGATTTGGTCTGAAATCAACAAAATGAAATTCAATAAAGACAAGTGCAAAGCATGACACATAGCAAGGGGAAAAAAATAAAATGTCCAACTATAAAATGGGAAATAACTGGCTAGGTTCTAGTTCTGCTGAAAAGGCTCTGAGGGTTATAGTGGATCACAAATTGAATATGGGTCAACAGTGTGATGTAGTTGCAAAAAAGACTAGTATTCTGGGATGTATTAACAGGAATGTCTTATGTAAGACATGGGAGATAATAGTCCTGCCCTACTTGGCACTGGTGGGCCCTCAGCTGTAGTACTGTGTCCGGTTCTGGGCACCACACTTTAGGAAAGATGTGGACAAACTGGAGAAAGTCTAGAGGAGAGCAACAGAAATGATCAAAAAGGGTTAGAAAATCTGACCTATGATGCCCCCCCTTTTTTTTTTAAATTTAAGCCTTACATGTTTAGTCTTGAGAAAAGAAGATTGAGTGGGGAACCAGATACATTTTAAGGGCTATTATGAAGAGGACAGTGATCAGTTGTTCTCCATGTCCAGTGAAGGTACTGCAAGAAATAATGGGCTTAATCTGCTACAAGGTTGACTAAGGTTAGATATGAGGAAAAACTATAAGGATAATTAAATTCTGGAATAGGCTTTCAAGGGATGTTGTGAAGTCATCATTATTGCAGACTAGACAAATACCTGCCAGGGATGCTCTAGGTTCACTTAGTTCTGCCTAAACACATGGGGCTGGACTTGATGACTTCTTACGATCTTTTCTACACCTACATTTCTATTATTCAGCTAGTGTAAATTGGAATAGCTAGATTGAGGTCAATGGAGCTATGTTGATTTGCAAGAGTTTAAGAGCCAGATCATCATAGTTTATATGAAAGCTTAGGTTCTGGAGCAGCCTCCAAAAAGGGTAACGAGCCACAAGATGGCCCAATGGAACCTGGATCTACTATTCCCCAAATACCCATTGATGTTATTTTGCCAATCCCTAGAATGACTGTCTTCTGGAGGTTGTAGCAGATGACTCCTACTGCATCTTTTGCTAGCACATAACTGACCCTTTACAGATTATATCACAATAGCTGGAAGGATCATGCCACGCTAGGTGGAGACTAGTAAAACTGGATAAAAGTAGAGATTAATTCCCAGCTGTCCCCAGGATGAAATGTCTTGCCCCTAATTATTAAACCAAATCTTCAGCTGGTGCACATTGATGTTGCCTTACTGAATCCAATGAAGATCTATCCCTCTTTACTGTGATACAGCTAATTTGTCTCCTTATTGGACCAAAGTGTTCTTAAAGCCAGTGTAGTCTGCTGCTGGAGAGGGACGTTCAGTGTAGGGGGACATTCTGTCATAGAGCTGAGATAGTGGCTCATACTTCACCTCCTTCTCTGCAGTAGAGGTTAGGGCTGTGACTCAAGAGAAGGGGGATTTGCTGCTACTTCCCTACACCCTAAATCTTGTTCATGACTTGTGTTACTGCTATCTCTCCCTGAGTCAGCTTGAAATGTGTGAGCCCAAAATATGCCCCAAACACCCATGAGAATGGTGCACTATCTACTGAGTCCTTGTATTGACTAACTACCATCATATTAGTGGTGATTTTCATCTCACATTAGCAAAAATTACATTTGCTGCTATGAAAATCTTCCTCATAACTTTAAGCAAGTAGCAATTTCCTGTCATATACAATTAGCAACTTTCTATGGCATAATATTAACAACATTCTCATTATGTGAAAATTTCATGTCACCCACTAGTTTATCAGCAAATTTTGTTTCTAGGAACTCAATATTTTAGAGAGTTGCTAATAAGATGAACCTTTATGTGGTAGTGAGAATGAAATATTCTAACATTATGTACAGTCACCAATAGAAAATGAAAATCAGAGTATTAGTAACCTTCAAATCATATTAGTGTTTCCAAGCTAACAGATAGGATGATAATGAGTGTGTGTAATAGCAAAACACTGCTAAGGAAAAATGTCATCTTTTTAGGTTATTTCTGCTTTCGATGCTGCATAAAAAGGATCCAAAATTGTATTAGTGATATATGGATTAAAGCAACATCACCTATCAATGTGCATATGTGGATACTTCCTAATATGAGATGTATAGGCTCAGATCCTCAAAGGTATTTAGGCATCTAACTCCCTATAAAATTAATGGGATTAGGTGCCTAAATACCTTTTGGAGTTCTGGGCCATTGTCTCTTGCTTTTTTTGTGGATATATGGGAAGGACACAAATCGCTTTCTCCCCCCCACTTGCACACATTATGCAAAGGCCAAAGACAAAACCAAGGGCTGCTAACTCAATCCATCAAGGGATACATCACGCCCAAAGGGGTAAGGAACATGTGGGCATATAACACAACACAACCTCTGCACTAACTCACTGTGCAGGTCAGTCATATTTGGACCCCTTCACCCACACTGTGGCCCAATGAAGATAACGGGGCCCTATGCAGGTGTCATTGCAGGACAGACACCTTGAGAAGTAGGAAACTCCACCTTAAAAGATTCCCCCACCTAGAACTGTTATGTGGAGTCTCATCATCCCAGGATCCCCCAATGCAGGTACCCCTAAATGGTACAATTTAGTGCTGAGTGTGCTTCCCAAACTGCTATGCTCCAACATCATTCACAACAATATACATATTCCACACGCTGTATGGAATATGGGAGAGAATTTATGATATTGTTGATACCACTATTATAAAATTGCAAGGAATCCGACCATCTATGCCATGTAAGGTATCTGTGAAAATGTTATGATTTGCCAATTATGATGATCATATTTATATGTTTGTATTACCTTTGTATTGTGAGTTATAGGTGTGTATAGTATATCTCTATTTCCAAACTCATGCTGTGTTTCTGGCTGACAGCCCCAGACAGATTGGCATCAGCGTGAGCCTGTTCAATGGCCCAGGTGGTCATCATCTGTACAATGGACCCACTGAAATGAGACCAGTGCTACACTGTATGAATCAGCAGGACTTGTAGGGACATGGTTATGGACAGGGGACTCCAAGTTTTTCCATGTCGTGTGCTGTGAAGCTTGTGTTTGGGAAACAGGAAGTACAAGCCACATGGCAAAAGGAATATAAAGGGTAGCTGCATCATCTCCATTTGGTCTTCATTCCTGCTGCCTACCTCTGGAATAACTTCTACAAATGAAGCTCTGAACAAAGGACTGAATGACCCATCCAAGCTGTGGATGTGCTCCAGAGGGACTTTCAAGCCAGCAAACTCACCAATACTGCTAAGACCCTGCTATGTGGACTTTGAAGTCCCTGTATGTATCTATCTGATTGCTTTTACCATTTAACAATTCTCTTCTTGTTCTTTCCTTTTTCTTTGTAATAAACATTTAGTTTTAGACACTAAAGAATTGGCTGGCAGCATGGTATTTTGGGTAAGATCCAAACTAATACTGACCTGGCAATGCGGCTGGCCCTTTGGGGTTAGAAGAACATTTTGTATAGTGAGCAGAATTTTTAAATAACTTCTCACTCTACTGGACCTATGTGCTGATTGGGAGCCAGAGAACTGGAATGCAATAAATGGGGTGGGGTGGGGTGATAATCAGCTTCTTGATAACCAGTGTAGGGTATCAGAAACACAGTTTGTGCCTGGTTGGTAAGTTTAACTTCAGTGTTAACCACCAGTTCTGGGAGTATCTGCTCTCCCTTTTGCAGCCTGCCCTGACCTTGGTATTTTCAGTGAGGACTGCCCCAGGCACCCTGGGTCACACACTAATGGACTTTACAGCAATGACAGAGCTGGATGAATAGCTTTAAAAATTCTTTCATTAGTATTTCTGTGAATAAAATGTGAAGTTTGATTCACTTTGTCATATTATTTGTTTACAAATATTCAGATTGTTCCAGGGTATTCATTAAAATGTTCACAAATCCTGCAGGCTTTATGAATTATAGCACAAACTACTCATCCAAAAATTTACACAAGAAGTGCAATATTTATTATTTACCTTTTGTTCTTCTGTTTAAAAAGTTTCGATCATCCCATCCTAGAAGAAAAACAATATGTGATTGATGCGGCTAATCACATTCTAAATGACAAACAGCAAATTGTTGAAACAATCAGTTCAAGAACCCCGCATAAGCTGAAAATGACTTATTCAAGTTTGTGATGGGTTCCTCCTGGGGTGCCACCTGGAACTGGGGTACCACTGAGCCTCCTGACCCACCAGCCTGGGCTCCCTTTCACACTGTACTGCTGTGACAACCTGCAAAGCCCTCCAGCCTGCATTTTCACCAGCAATCATACAGGGTAGGGACAATCCCAGCTGCGTTACATGCAGGTTCTCTGTCCAGCCCCTGCATAGAAAGGCTACAGCTAAGGCAACTCTCAGCCCCCCTGTGGAGTATAAACCCAAAATTATACCATCTTGCACTGCACAGGGAATTGTACAGCATAAGCTCGTAAAGTTTGCCCCCTCCCTCAATGTGGAGAGGAATATGCAACAGAACAGCCTTTGCACCTGAGCTATGTTCCCATACACTTCATTCCAACTCACTGGTTTAGATAAAGCAAAAACAAGTTTATTAACAAAGCCCTGGCTGGGATGATTTAGTTGGGAATTGGTCCTGCTTTGAGCAGGGGGTTGGACTAGATGACCTCCTGAGGTCCCTTCCAACCCTGATATTCTCTGATTCTGTGAACTACAAATGATTTTAAATTCATATAAATGATAACAAACAGATCAAAGCAGATCACCTAGCAAATAAAGAATGCAAATTAAGCTTAATATACTAAATAGATTGGATATGAATTAGCAGATTCTCCCTTTAAGAGATTATACAAGAAGGCTGCAGATTCTTAAGTGGCAAGCTGTACTTGCTTTACAGCTTGGAATCCCCAGGTGTTTCATTCATAGGCTAGAAATCCCTTTAGCCTGGGTCCAGCACTTCCCCCAGTTCAGTCTTTGTTCTTCAGGTATTTCTAGGAGTCTTCTTGTGTGGTGAGTGAAGAACACCAGATGATGTCACTCTCTGCCTTATATAGCTTTTACTTACGGCGGGAACACTGTTTCAAAGCTTGGGTCTCAGACCAGTCTGTGAAAAAATACTGACATCCCAAGAATGAGTCCAGCATCATGTGGTCCGATCACATGTCCTTGTAAAGTCATAGCAGCCATTACTCACAGACTGTTTGGAGTGTTCTCAGGAAGGCTCATCACCAGGTGGGAGATAAGCTTCTCCTAAGGGCTATTCTTTTTTTTCTAATGGATCATTGCCCTGAATAGGCCCTTCCCCACCCACTATCTAGACTGAAAGCTTGTCTAGTGGGCATTACCCAGGTATAACAATATTTGTAACTCCAGATACAAAAATGATGCATAGACACAAAGAGGATAATCGTATTCAGCAAATCATAACTTTTCCAATGACACCTCCCATGACTTATCTTGTACAAAATGCATCATAATTAGGCTACAATCATATCATAATAATATCACTATGAAGAATATGGGGTGCAGTGTCACAAAGTTATTTGGTGAATTCTTCAGAATAGCAAATAAAGATCCAAAGAGTTTTCAAATGATTTTTAATGTATGGTAACATCAGAGAAATTACTATTGTCAGGCCACTTAATGACATAATATACAGCTCATATTCATTCTGCCCTCTGTATGGATGAGCTTGGGGAAAAGGGTGAAAATATACCCTACCCCTTAGGGACTAAGTAGCATCAGGCCAGAATTCACTACTGTCATAGATGACATCCTTGGTGGTGCGCCATAGTCCCAAAGGCATATTGTCCATCAGAATGGTGGCATGAGTGGGCTCCAGGAGCCCAATGCTTATTTGCGTTGTTGGCAGGAGTGTTCACTGCTCTTTTTTGAGTCAGTAGTGAGGCATCCCTCCTGATCCTCTTCCTATCACTAATCTCAGACCTCAATGAGATAGCATGTCCTGTGCCACCACTTTAGCTCTGTAAGACTGGCACCCTATGCTCCTCTCAGTCATTTAAACAGCTTAGAAAAGTACAGTAAATCCTCACTTAAAGTCGTCCCGGTTAACATTGTTTCATTGTTACGTTGCTGATCATTTAGGGAACATGCTCATTTAAAGTTGTGTAATGCTCCCTGCTAACATCGTTTGGCAGCCGCCTGCTTTGTCTACTGCTTGCAGAAAGAGCAGCCCATTGCAGCTAGCTGGTGGGGGCTTGGAATCAGGGTGGACTGGCAGCCCCCCATCAGCTCCCCTTATCAGCTCCCCGCTCCCCTAAGTTCCCTGTGCAGCAGTTCAGCTGTCCTTCCTCCCACTGCCATGAGCTGCTCCTGCCCTCTGCCTTGGAGCTGCTCCCGAGATTCCTTCTTGCTGTGGGGGGCAGGGGGGAGGGAAGGAAGAGGTGGGCTAATGTCACAGTGTCCCCCTCCCCCTTGCTCCTGCACCCCGCTTACCCCATCTTCAATAGAGCAGCGGGGACACACCTAGGGTGACCAGACAGCAAGTGTGAAAAATCGGGACAGGGAGTGGGGGGTAATAGGAACCTATATGTGAAAAATCGGGACAGGGAGTGGGGGGTAATAGGAACCTATATAAGAAAAAGACCCAAAAATCGGGACTGTCCCTATAAAATCGGGACATCTGGTCACCCTAGACACACCAGGGCTCAGGACGGAGGGAGCTTGCAGCAGCTGCTGTCTCAGCAAGCTGATCTAATTAACAAGGCAGTGTACTTAAAGGGGAAATGCGCATCTCTCTCTCACACACATACTCCCTCCATTCCTGCTGCCTTGTAGAGTGAGAGAGTTAACCCTTGAGGACTCAGCCAATTGCTAGTTCATCATTTAGCAGTAAGGGAAATATCCCACCGTCTGACTCCTCCACCTCAACCAAGCTTCACAATCATCATCACTGTGTACCAGTATTAAATTGTTTGTTTAAAAATTTATACTGTGTGTGTGTATATATATATATATATATAGTTC